TACTTACCCACCATTTCAGTTAAGCCCTGAGAAATCCTATCTTGGCCGATTTGTGGAGAAAAGCTCTCCATTGGAAAGATGAATGCTTTTTGTGATGGATTTTGAAAATCATAGTACTTCATAGCTGGAAGGAGACCCTCAGAGATGATCTAGTCCAAACCCCAGCTTATCTAATTCATGTATTCCTTCAACAAATATTTGCCAAGCTCCTTCCACATGCCAGGTACCATTCAACATGATGGGGAAATACTGGAAACAAAACAGACAAGGCTTCTCTTTCATGGAACAAGTAAACAAATAGCATAATTTCAGGGAGTGTTAGTTTCTATGAAGAAGACAAAAACAGGATAATGGGATGAAGAGTGGTTGGAGAGGTGGTTCTTTTGACAGGGAGACCCTAAGAGGAGGCAATATTGGAGCTGAGACTAAGTGATAAGAAACTAGCCAAGCAAAGATCTTTGGGAAGGCAGACAGAGCAAAGAGCAAGTGCAAAGCCTCTGAGATGGAACAAGTCTCATGTACTGGAGAACAGAGAGCTGGCCACGAAACCGGGGCTTACAAAGTGAAGTCGAAGAGGAGCACAAGTCACATAGGGCCCTGGGGACGATGATGAGGCAAGAAAAGTAAAGGGACTGACTTAATGTCTGTCATACAGCACATGCAAGCACAGGTCTCTCCACCTCTATTCAGAACTTTTTTACTCAACACATGTTGCCCCTAAAACAAAAGCCACCATCCCTTGTCTCATTATATTTCCACACTGGCTTTGTGCTCTAGGAGACACAGGATATGGGAAAATATGTCTTGGCACAACACAGAGAGATTAATTCAGGAATATGTCACTCTCATAATGAAAATCACGCTTGATTAAAATGATCTCTCAGCCTGAGTTATTTTATGTCCCTGTTTCTCCATATGCTTTCCAATATTTTTCATTCTGTATGATCTGGGTTAGTAGGAGAAGAAAATCTCTATATCCAGCAATTCCTCAAATTCACCAATTTGTGAATCACCGTCAGAGCTTGTGCCATATCCACGTCTCACCTCTACTATTTTTTACTTAATACTTTTGTTTAAGGTGACTTATTATTTTATACTTCTTTCTACCTGAGCCAATTAATAATATTCATAAAATTATGAGTTTGATATGCTAGTTTTTATTACACATTAAATAAATATAATGTTAAAGATTAAAAGTTCAGACTTTCGTACCACCTAAAGTCATATTCTATGGGTAAATTTTTCTTTTTTTTTGGTGAGGAAGATTCGCCCTGAGGTAACATCTGTGCCAATCTTCCTCTATTTTTTTGTATGTGGGATTCTGCCATGCTATGGCCAGCCCCTCTATGGGTAAATTTTTTAGGAAGAAAAGAAACCAATTCCTGTGTCCAATAGGGGCATGCTTTTAAAGCCGGGTATCTGAGGGGTACTGTAGATATTAAAACAATTTGCTGTTTTTCATGTTTAACTTTAGGGGTGACTCAGGGGTCTCGAGGATTTGTGAGCTTGTTTTGCAGGAGAGAGAGAATGCCTTCGGGGAGGTTCCGATCACCGGATGGCCGGCCCACAGCAGCTGTTGAAGCCTGGAAGTCAGATTGCCCAGAGGCTTATTAGGAGTGACCCCTTTGTTTCTCTGAAGCCCCTCCTGCCAAGTCCCTTAGCTTATAAAACTCCCCTGCTTTCTGTTCTAGGTGAATTTGAGCAAACCCAGGCTCCCACCTACTCGTTTTGGCCAATTAGAATAAACCTTTCTCAGCTCCAAGAACCAATGTCTCAGTGTTTGGCTTGCTGGGCATCGGGCACACAAACTTGAGATTAAGAGGTTCTACATCACTTTCTCAGAAGGTCAGAGATATAAGCATTCCCTTTCTGTTTCTCTCTTTTATTTTTGTTCCTGACATAAATATTTATGCCAACTTCCAATTGCTGCTCTTATGTCAATGATAGAATATACAGAATCTCCAGAATGTCTTATTTCTGAAAAGCTTAGGATTTCTAAATGAGAACAAGTAACACAACTATCAACTCTTTTCAACTTCCTTGGAAAGTGCCACCTGTAAGTGGCTGTCGTAAGGGAACAGGGAGTAGAGAAGACAGAGTTCTCCTCTGGAAAGCCACCATCAAATGACACAGATGCATGTATGCCATGGACCCAGGATAGCAAAACATATCAACAGGCAATATTCATCAAAACCAAGCACATTTGAAAAAATCTTTTGTGTGAAAATTAAAATATTTACAAAAGTCAAGAGAATAATATAATGAACACTCATGCACCTATCACTTACTTTTAAGAATTATCAACTCACGGCCAATCTTGTTTCCTCTCTACTCACACCCATTTCTCCCTTTCCAATGGATTATTATGAGGCAAGTCACAGACATCCTTTCCTTTCACCTGCACATATTTCAGTACATATCTTTAAAAGGAGTCTGATTTTGACTATAGTCACAATACTGGTGTCACACTTGACAAAATTAATAATCCTTTAATATAAAATAGCTAGTGTCCAAAATATAAATTTTTATGGTTGTTTTGTTCAAATCAGGATCCAAACAAGATCCACATAATCCATCTGATTGGTATATTTCATAAGTCATTCTAAATCAATAACCACCACACATGCCATTTTCTTGCCACATATTTGTGAAAGAAACCAGATCATCATCCCAAAGAGTTTCCCACATTCTGGATCTTTTCTGATTGCATCCTTGAAGTATGTGTAACATATTCCTCTGTCTTCTAATTGTCCTACAAATTGGTGTTTAACTCTAGAGCTGTTCTGTTTGATATGGCAGCCACTAGCCACGTGCCTAATGAACGATTGAAATGTGGCTACTCTAAATTGAAATGTTCTGTAAGTGTAAAATACATACCAGATTCCAAAGACTTGGTACAAAAAAAAAGTAAAATATCTCATTAATAACGTTTATGTTGATTATATGTTGAAATAATAGCGCTTTGTTTATATTGGGTTGAATAAAATATAGTTTTAAAATTCATTTCTACCTGTTTCTTTTTATTTTTAACGTGGCCAAGAGAAAACTTAAAATTACATATGTGGCTCACACATTTCACATAGCCAGTATGCTGCACTAGAAGCTTGATCAGGTTCAGGTTTGATGTTTTGGAGAGAAAATTTCATATACTACACAAGGGGACATAGAATAACTGGTTTCTCTCTTTTTTTGTGGTTTAAGGTTGATCAATTTTGTCAGCCTGATCCATCCATTCTAAAATTACCTATTAGGGCCGGCCCCGTGGCTTAGCGGTTAAGTGCGTGCGCTCCGCTGCTGGCGGCCCGGGTTCGGATCCTGGGTGCGCACTGACGCACCGCTTCTCCGGCCATGCTGAGGCCGTGTCCCACATACAGCAACTAGAAGGATGTGCAGCTATGACATACAATTATCTACTGGGGCTTTGGGGGAAAAAATAAATAAATAAAATTAAAATTACCTATCAGCCTCTCATCTAACAGTTTTAGCAGCAATTAATAATTATTGTCTTAACCAGGGTTTCTCAGCCTCAGCACAATTGGCCTTTTGGGCAGGATAATTCTGTGTTGTAGGGGCTCTCCTGTGCATCGTAGGATGTTCAGCAGCGTCCCTAGTCTCTACCTACTGGATGCCAGTAGCACCTTCCCCAGCCTCCAGTTGTGACAATAAAAATGTCTCTAGACATTGCCAAATACACCCCATGGGGCAAAATCCCCTCCCCTATGACCCCACCCTACCCCCAACTTGAGAATCACCGGTCTAGGGCCATTGTCTCAATAGGGCCAAACAAATTTAACCCCTACCATGAAGTCTTCCCTAAAGCCATCTTCCTACAACCAAGAATTAACACCTTCAACTTTGTAGTTCCCTAGTACTCTCTGGCTCTCTATTAGCATTTATTACATTATTTCACAATTGTTTAGGTCTGTTCCCCGCTCCCACCCCCCACCCCCCGCCCCAGAATGTGAGCTCTTCAAGGGCAGCCTCTACTTCTTTGTATTCCTATTGCCTGAAAGAATACCTGAAATGTGGGGCTCAGTGGATGAAATCTTGCCAAATAAGGGCAAGAGGCAAGAGCCTCTGTGTTCCCTGATCCCATTAAGAGGAAAAGCATGACCATTTATCTGGTTGCTCTGGAACCATTTCTGAAGTTTGCCTACTAGAGGGCCCCTGTGTAGAATTTACCGTTTGTGAGAAGAAGTTTGGAGTCAGAGCCGTCATTATACTTGAGAATTTATTCATTTATTCAAGAAACATATACTGAGCACCAACTACTGGACAAACACTTTTCTCAAAATTAGAGATACAGTGAAGAACAATCAGAGAAGGTCTCCCCTGAGGAAGATATATCCTAATGGTAGGTGATGGGGACAGAGGGTCAATAAACAAAGACACAAATAAGTACATAAGTAAACAAGATAATCTCAATTTGGGATTATAAATGTATAAGAAAATAAATAACATGATATGATAAAGAGTATGGAAGTGGAAGCAACTCCGTTAGAAAGAGAAAGAATGAGATGGAGAAAGCCATGGGCAAAGCAGGGAGGGGCACTTCAGGCAGAAGAAAGAGCCAATGCCAGGACTTTGCAGGGGAAAAGAGCTAGATGTGTTCAAAGAACAGGTCAGAGGTCAGGGAGCACACTGAGCAAGAGACATGTGAACCAAGACAGTTCAGAAGCTTGGGCAGGACACTGTAGGCCATGGCCAAGCTTTGGACTGCATTCTAAGGAGAAGAAGCTATTGAACAGCTTAAAAAATAGGTTTGGGATGATATAATTTACATTTTTAAAAAATAATAGCTTTGAGATACAATCCAGATACTGAATTTAAAAATTCATCCTTTTTAAAGTGTACAATTTAGTAGTTTTTAGCATGTTCACAGAGTTGTACAACCATCACCACTGTCTAATTTTAGAACATTTTCATTACCTTAAAAAGAAACCACATACCCATTAGTACTCACTCCTCATTCTCTCCTACCTCCAGACCCTGGAAACTACTGATCTATATTCTATGTAGATTTGCCTATTCTGGATATTACATATAAAAGGAATTATATAATATGTGGTCTTTTGTGTCTGGTTTCTTTCACTTAGCTTAAAGCTTTCAGAGTTCATCCATGCTGTAGCATGTATCAGTACTTCATTCCTGTTTACGGCTGAATAATATTACATTGTATGGATATACCACTTTTATTTATCCATTCATCTGTTGATAGATATTTGAGTTGTTTCCACTTTGCAGCTATTAAGAAACATGCTGCTATAAACATTTGTATAAAAGTTTTTGTGTAGACATATGTTTTCATTTTTCTTGAACATATATATACTTAGAAGCAGAGTTTCTAGGTCATATGGTAACTCCATGTTTAGCTTTTGAGCAACTGCCAGACCATTTTCCAAAATAGCTGTACAGTTTTACAATCCCAGCAGCAATATATGATGGTCCAATTTCTCCACATCCTTACCAACACCTATTATCTATCTTTTTTATTTTAGCCATCTTAGTGGGTATTTAGTGGTATCTCATTGTGATTTTGATTTGCATTTCTGTAATGACCAGTGATGTTAAGCATCTTTTCATGTGTTTGTTGGCTATTTTTACATCTTCTTTGAAGAAATGCCCGCTCAAATACTTTTCCCATTTTTAAATGGGTTATATGATTTTTTTTGAGTTGGCAGAGTTTTTTGTATTTTCTAGTTACAAGTCCTTTATCAGATACATGATTTGCAAATATTTTCTCCCATGCTGAGGGGTTTTCTTTTCACTTTCTTGATGGTGTTCTTTGAAGCACTAAAGTTTTTAATTTTGATGAAATTCAATTTACCTATTTTTTCTTTTGTCACTTGTGCTTTTGGTGTTATATCTAATAAGGCTTTTCCTAACCCAAGGTCACAAAGATTTACTCCTATGTTTTCTTCTAGGAGTTTTATAGTTTTGGCTGTTACACTTAGGTCTATGATCTACTTGAATTAATTTTTGTATGTGGTATGAGAAAGGAGTCCCACTTCATCTTTTGTATATAGATCTAATTGTCCCAGCACAATTTGTTGAGAAGATTATTCTTTTCCTATTGAATGGTCCTGGCTCCTTTGTCAAAAATACATTGACCATAAAAGTGAGAGTTTATTTACGGAATCACAATTCTGTCCTATTACCTATATGTCTATCCTATGACGGTACCACATGGTCTAGATTACTGTAGATTTGTGGCAAGTTTTGAAATTGAGAAATGTGAGTCCCCAATTTTGTTCTTTTTCAAGATTGTTTTGGCTATTCTGGTTCTTTTGCACTTTCCCAAGAATTTTAGGTTTAGCTTGTCAATTTCTGAGAAGTCAGCTGGAATTTTGATAGAGATAGTGTTGAATATGTAGATCAATTTGGGGAGTATTGCCATCTTAAGTCTTCCAAACCATAAAAATAGGATGATTTTCCGTTTATTTATGTCTTCTTTAATTTCTTTCAACCCTGTTTTGCACCTTTCAGTGTGCATATCTTGTACTTCTTGTGTTAAGATTATTCTTAAGTATTTTATTCTTTTTGATGCTATTGCAAATGGAATTTTTTAATTTCATTTTGGATTGTTCATTAATAGTGTATAGAAATACAATTGATTTTTGTATATTGATCTCATACCTGCAACTTTGCTAAACACATTTATTAGTTCTAATACCATATACGTGTGTGTCCTATTTGCCTAATTGCCCTGGCTAGAATCTCTAAAACAGTGTTGAATAGAAATGGAAAGAGTGGACATCTTTCTCTTGTGCCTTTCCTTAGGGGTAACCTTTTAAGTCTTCCACCATTAAGTATGATGTTAGAAGTGTGCATGTTATAGACGTCCTTCATCAGGTTGAGGAAGTCACCTTCAATTCCTACTTTGTTAGGTATTTTTATCACGAAAGAGTGTAGTATTTTGTCAATGCCTTTCTGAGTCAATGGTATTATTATACGATTTTGTTATTTATTCTATTAATATGATGTATTACACTGATTGATTTTCATGTTAAGCTAACTTTGCGTTCTTAAGATAAATCCCAGTTGGTCATGGTGTATAATGCTTTAAATATGATGCTGGATTTAGTTTGCTAGTATTTTGTTGAGGATTTCTGCATTTATATTCATAAGGGATATTGGTGTGTGGTTTTCTTGTGATGTCTTTGTCTGCTTTTGGTATCAGAGTAATACTGGCTTCATAGAATATGTTAGAAAGTGTTCCTTCCTGTTCTATGTTTTGGAAGAGTTTGAAAGTGATTGGTATTCTTTTTTAGACACCTGGTAGAATTCAAACTGAAGCCATCTGCACCTGAGCTTTTCTTTGTGGAAAGACTTTTTATTAATAATTCATTCCATTTACTTATTGTAGCTTTATTCAGATTGTCTATTTCGTCTTGAGGCAGTTTTGGTAGTTTGTGTCTTTCTAGGAATTTGTCCATTTCATCTATGTTATCTAATTTGTTGGCCTACAATTGTTCATATGATTCCCTTATAATACTTTTTATTACTGTAAGTTCAGTAGTGATGCCCCTTTCTTCCCTGAGTTTAGTAATTTGAGTCTTTTTTTTTTCTTGATCAGTCTGGCTAAAAGTTTGTTAATTTTATTGATCCTTTCAAAGAATCAACTTTTAGTTTCATGGATTTTCTCTATTGTTTTTCTAATTCTTTTTTTCATTAAGGTCCACTCTCATCTGACTTTTCTTCCTTCTGTTAGCTTTGGGTTTAGTTTGCTTTTTTTCTTCTAGTTTTTAAGAAACTAGAAAAAGTGGCTGTTTAGGCTATTGATTTAAGATCTTCTTTAATATAAGAAGTTACAGGTAAAATTTCCCTCTAAGCACTGCTTTTCCTCTATCCCATAAGTGTTGGTATGCTGTGTCTTCATTTTCATTCATCTCAAAGTATTTTCTAATTTCTCTTATGATTTCATCTTTGAGTCATTGGTTATTTAGGAGCATGTTGTATAGTTTCCACGTATATGTGATTTCCCCAAATTTCCTCCTGTTATTGATTCTAATTTCATTCAATCACGGTCAGAGAACATACTCTGTATGTTTTCAATCCTTCTAAGTTTTCTTGGCTTGTTTTATGGCCTAAAATATGGACTATCCAAGAAGATGTTCAATATGTGCTTGACAAGAAAGTCTTTTCTACTGCTGTTGTGTAGAGTGCTCTATATTTATCTGTTAGGTCTAGTTGGTTTATGGTGTTGTTCAAGACTTCTATTTCATTTAGATTTTCTATATAGTTGTTCTATCTATTATCAAACGTAGGATATTGAAGTCTCCAACTCTTATTGTTGAATTGTCTATTTTTCCATTCAATTCTGTCAGTTTTTCCTTCAGGTATTTTCAGCTCTGTTATTAGGTGCATAATGTTTATAATTTTTAGGTCTTCTTCCTTATGGATTGACACTTTTCTCATTACAAAATCTCCTTTTTTGTCTCTAGTGATACATTTTTGTTTTCAAGTCTACTTTGTCTGATTTTAGAATAGTCCCCTCTGCCCAGTTCTCTTTGGTTACTGTTTGCATGGTATCTTTTTTTTATATCATTTTATTTTCAACCTATTTATGCATTTGAATATGTCTCTTTTAAACAGTACACTGTTTGATGATGTTCTTTTTAATCCATTTTGCCAATCTCTGCCTCTTGATTAGAATGTTTAGTTCATTTATATTTATGTAATTACTGATAAGGTGAGATTTACACCTGATATTTTGCTATCTGTTTTCTATATGTTTTATGTCATTTTCTTCCTCTAGCCCTCCATTATTGTCTTCTTTTGTGTTAGATATTTGCTAACACACCATTTTGATTACCTTGTCATTTCTTTTACTATGTATATATTTTTAAGTTAGTCTTAGTGGTTGCCCTGGCATCGTAACCTAAAACAACCTAAATCAGATTACTATCAAGTTATTTTCAATATTATATAAAATATTTGCTCCAATGAAGCTCCATTCCTTCCCCTTCTTCATGCTATTATTGTCATACAAATTACATGTTTATACATTATAAGTATACATATAAGTAACTACATAGTTACCATTACTGGTGCTCTTTATAGCTTCATGTGAATTCAAATTACTGTTTAGTGTCCTTTTATTTTAGCTGGAAGAACTTCCTTTAGTATTTCTTTTTTTATTTTTTTTTAATTTTTTGTTTATTGCAGTAACATTGGTTTATAACATTGTAAAAATTTCAGGTGTACATCATTGTACTTCTATTTCTGCATAGATTACATCATGTTCACCACCAAAATACTAATTACAACCCATCACCACACACATGTACCGAATTATCCCTTTCACCCTCCTCCCTCCCCCCTTCCCCTCTGGTAACCACCAATCCAATCTCGGTCCCTATGTGTTTGTTTATTGTTGTTATTATCTATTACTTAATGAAGGAAATCATACGGTATTTGACCTTCTCCCTCTGACTTATTTCATTTTGCATTATACCCTCAATGTCCATCCATGTTGTCACAAATGGCTGGATTTCATCGTTTCTTATGGCTGAGTAGTATTCCATTGTGTATATATACCACATCTTCTTTATCCATTCATCCCTTGATGGACACTTAGGTTGCTTCCAAGTCTTGGCTATTGTGAATAACGCTGCAATGAACACAGGGGTGCATGTACCTTTACAAATTGGTGTTTTCAAGTTTCTTTAGTATTTCTTGAAGGGCAGGTCTGCTAGTGACAAATTCTCTCAGTTTTTGTTTATATGAGAACTACCTAATTTCTCCTTAATTATTGAAGGATAATTTTCTGATTATAGAATTCCTAGTTGACAATCTTTTTCGTTTGGCACTTTGAATATTTCATCCCACTGCTTTCTGGCCTCCATACTTTCTGAAAATAAATCAGTTTTAATTATTATTAAAGATGTCTTGTATATGATGAGTTATTTTTCTCTTGCTTCTTTCAAGATTTTCTCTTTGTCTTTCAATAGTTTAATTATTATGTATTTTGGTGTGGATCTCTTTGAGTTTTTCCTACTTGGATTCATTGAGTATCCTGAATGTATAGATTAATATTTTTCAGGAAATTTGAGGAATTTTTGGCTATTGCTTCTTCAAACATTCTTTCTTTCCCTTTCTCTTTCTCCTTTCCTTTTAGGACTCCCATTAAGTGTGTGTTGGTAAGCTTGATGTTTCCCACAGGTTTCTGAGTCTCCGTTCATTTTTCTTCATTCTTTTTCCTTTCTGTTCCTCAAAACAGTTATTCTCAATTGATCTACAAGTTTGTTGGTTCTTTCTTTTCCCAGCTTAAATGTGTTCTTGAGCTCCTCTAGTGGATATTTCATTTATTATATTTTTCAACTCCGGAATTTTTAAAAATAATTTCTATCTCTATATTGATATTCTCCATTTAGAAAATATCATTTTCATATTTTACTTTTTACATGGCTTCCTTTATTTCTTTGAACTTATTTACAATAGCTGACAAAGTATTTATCCAGTAAACCCAATGTCTGAGATTCCTCAGGGACAGTTTGCATTGACTTCTTTTTTTTCTTATTTTTGGGCCATACTTTCCTATTTCTTTGCATATATCATAATTTTTGGTTGAAAACTGGACATTTTAAATAATATATGTAACAACTTTGGAAATCAGATCCTATTCTCTTTCCAGAATTTGTCATTGTTGCTGTTCATTTAGTGACTTTCCAGGACTAATTCTATAAAGTTTGTGTTCTTTATTGTTTGGAGCTGCTGAAGTCTCTGCTAGGTTAGCTTAGTATTTAACTAGTGATTGGACAGAGATTTCCTTAAATGCCTTGAACCAATGTCTCTCAGCCTTCACCAAGAGGTTTTCTTTGTTTGTTCGGGCATGATTTCAACACTCCAATAGGTAGTTGACAACTCTGCCGTAGCCCTCACTTTCTGATTGTGCAGATCCTCAGGGTCAGCCAGAGGTGTGCTTAGGGTCTTCTCATGTCTTTCCTGGGCATGTGCACTGTCCTGCCTATATGCATAGCCTTCTAGATTCCCAGAAATATGTCGTAGCTTTTTAAATTCTCCTATGGACATCTCATTCCCCAATTTTTCCTTTAAAGTTTTTGGTTGGCAGTTTCTTGGTAGCCTCAACTGAATTGCCACCAACACCACAAGCAACTGTGATGTTGAACAATTGCCATTGATTGTTTAGACAAATTCCCTAGGGATAGGGCTTTCACAAAGGACAGAGCTCTGCATCAGCCAAATAAAGACAAGCCCTAAGATTGAAACTTTTTACTTTTTT